AAAAACATATACTTACGCGGAGCTTCTCATTAAGCAGCTGACGAAAACGAATTGCTTAGCAGGTATGCATTCTGTTCGACAACGCGCGCCAATTTCAGCATCAATCGGGCGCTGCAGGATGAATGCGCTGACCACTGGCTTCCTGATTTTGTTGCAGCTGAAACATTTCCGTGTTGCTAATATAAATTGCGGACCAAGTTTTGTGCCATGCAACAGCATGCAACCTCTGAAGATAACTTCCAGTGAGTTATTTCTTTGAAAAACGAGTAAATACACACAAACACATACACGGTTACGAAGTTACATTCACATACACACATAAACATACACGCGCACATACGAGTACACATACGCACACAAACAAACACATACATACACACGAGCATCCGAGCACAGCGGTATCCTTGTGTTCTCACACGTTTTCATGAGCAGATTCCCTTTTTTGCGTTCTGGCATCCTGAACCAATTTGAAAACGCGTAAAAAAGTAGAGCAACAAGAAGAGACCGATAAAAAAACACGAAATATCTCAACGTAATTAGACAGACAATGCAAAAATGCGCTAGGCAGATAATGCAAAAATGCGCTAGACAGATGACGCAAAAATGAAAAAAAGTGCAGGCAAGGCTAACTCTAGAAACTATAAATGGGTAAAATCAATAAATTTCAGTCAAACCGTTTTTCATAAAATCGCGAAATTTTGGTAGTCTATGGCCTTTATTATTAAGCAGCGTCAAAATGGAAATATCTATAAGCGTCTGCAAGGCAAATCCTAAAACTAAAAGCGCTGAATTTTAAAAAGCTAGCAGTTAGGTGCTGTAAGAGGAGCACTGTTGTTTTGAAATAAATCGTGAGTTCGAGTCCGCCAGTGTCTTCTTTTCGCTTATTCGTTTCGATGGTTAACAGTTCCAGGCGGTATTCTAGGGAGTCAAACGTCCATCAGCTTGCTTGTTAGCAAAGGAAGCCACCGACAGCCCTGCCGGTGAATAGTTGTTGTTGGCATCTGCTACCACTCGGGCTAATTCCTTAGTGCCTGTGCCTCCTACACTAAGTAAACACTGGGGTGGCAGGGGAGGGGAATTGAAAACTAGCAAGAAAAACCATTAATTTTCGCCTGCAGACTTGTCATCTGCTTCCCGGAAAAAGTGATGCTTTGAGACGTTTGATCAGGGCTTATTCCTCATCCGACCAAAAGACTGCAAATGTGCCATTACTTTATATCTATGCTACCCTTTTTGAGGACAGGTCCGACCGCAGTGCAAGTGCCCGATATTCAGATCAGCAGAATTCCAAGCAGCTTGATGGAAACCGCTGTTCAAGAAGCAGCTGAAGAAGTGCAAAAAGCCTTTGCAAATTTGAAAAGGACTTACGATTACGGTAAGCACTCGGTTAACTGGTAAGCCAGCATTATAAATAACGTATGGTGCGCCGGTATTTTACAATTACAGATATACTAAGCGGAGCGAGTAAACGATATGTCTATTTAAATCCGGTGGACGAGCTTATTGGAAACCTCAGCTTTGCAGCATACGTCAGCATCGCTGCGTCCAGAAGACTTAGTTTGTAAGCATCCTTTTCAATTTCAGGATTTTAATGAACCATGAAAAACACAATTTGGCCTGATGCGAATTTGGTCTAGCAATTTTTATTTGAAAAGTCATTGGCCCAGCATCGTTTGCCCTCTTATACTTCTAAACTACGATCGTCCATTCAAGTACGGGCTGATACTAAAATTCGAAAATGCAGGGCATAAGCCTTTAATATCTAGTTTTTTCTGCGCAGGATTAGGATGAAACTTTTAGAAAGCGGATATCCGCAACAGCTTACACCAAAGATTCATAATTATTTCGTCCTTCGTTCCCCTGGTTGTAACTTCCAGCTGGAACCTTCTGTTTTGGAAAGTTTCTTCGAATATTTTTTTTTTTGTATCTGCAGTTTCGGTGGCATGGGAAACGAAAATGCATGGTTTGATGCGTTGAATTCAACAACACTTCTCAAATACTGTCCCCCGTTTTTACCTGGTATGTAGTATTTTTTGAAATTTGCTAATTCAAAAAATTGGTGCCATTACAAAATAATAGGCGATTTTTCAGAAATTTGCCCACCGACGCAGTATCGGTCATTTTCCGGTTACTGCAACAACATTCTACATCCCTTTTGGGGCACCATCTATGAACCAATGCAGCGTATCCTACCGCCCAATTACTACGATGGTCAGTTTTTGCTTTTTGCTTGTAAATCTCTGGGAATATTCAGTAATAGCGACCGGAATAACGAGTTGCAGGTGTTACCGTACCGAGCCGTTCACGCTCCGGCGATGCGCTTCCAAATGCGCGCCACAT